AAAAAAGACACATCAGATAGCAAGAAGATGAAATAAGAAAAACCGAGTTCATCTTGTATCAGAAAAAAATATTTTCGTAAGATTGCAATTTTATCACTCAAAATTTTATCCATTTTAAAAACAAAAAAGCACAATTATAAAACAAGCGGTCTTGTGTAAATTGTAGAGCTTTTCGCGCTGCATCTTTTGATATATTTCGTTCTTAAATAGGGCGAAGTAATAAAAACATTAGATGCAAGCATGCCTATCCATTATGTCCAACCAGTTACATTTTACAGCTTTTTGTGCGTCTTTATTTCTCAACTTTTTTCAAATATACCTAAAATAGTTTTAGGATCTAGTTATATATGGTTTTGTAGAGAATTTCAAGCGCTATCTTTTGTTAAAAAAGAGTGTTTCAATCACCGGGATAATAGAGAGAAAATTCAAAAATACTAAGAGGGCAATTTATTCTGAGCCACCCGTTATCATGATGGAAAAATCTATGTGAAACTTTGGGCCGGGCGGCCCGATAAAAATATAGGCCCGCCCGGCCCGGGTCCGTTATTAAATGGGCCGGGCCGGGTGGCCCGTTTCGAGCCCTGCTACGAGGTACATGACACAATGATCATTTGCCGATGTGTTATGCATATGCATATCTCATGAACAAATCATACAAGTGAGCTGAAATTTTACTTAGAGAAAAAGCTCATTGTGTATTTACTCTGATAAAAAACTTAGCTCTTTAGAGAGTTTCTATCATTCAGGAGTCTTTCAACAAAAAAAATCATCATTTTGAGCAAAATCATAACTTTGAAAGGTTTTGATCTCTCAAGAAATGGGGTCTATAAAAGTCGCATTCGTGTGATTTTAAAGTACATATTGAGTACTACAAAATTATGCAAGAATTGATCTGGGATCTTGTAAAATAATCTGCGAAGACTTATTGAAAAATACTTTAATATGATATGTTTTTCATAGAAAATTTTGTCAAGTTCGTTCATAAATTAATAGAAGTTTCATTATATGAAATGAACTCTATTCAGTAAAAATCAACATGCAATATTCTATAAACGAGCTGTTTGAAAATAACAAAAAAAATTTTTTTTTTTCTGAAAAATTTCTGTACTCCTCTCCAGAGCTTTCCGTAAAAAGGTTTTTTTTCGAAGTCTCCATACCTCGTACGGAGTTTTTTGAAAATTTTTTTTTCTCATTTTCAATGGACTTTTTATAGAAGCTAATAGAGGTTGATGTGATGGTTATTAATACTGGATAGAATTTATTTGACATGATGAAAGTTTTCAATCAATGTTTCAACGAACTTGGCTATATTTTCTATAGAAAATGGGTCATTTGGGAGTATTTTTCAATAAGGTTTCGCAAATCATTCTACAAGATCTTGGATCAATTCTTGCATAACTTTGTAATACTGACTATGTATTTTAAAACTACACGAATTAAACTTCTATAGGACTCATTTCTTTGAAGATCGAAACCTTCCAAAGTCATGATTTTTGTCAAAATCAGGATTTTGTGGAAGATTTCCTAAGCAATAGGAACTATCTAAAGAACTGAATTTTTCACTAGAGTAAGTATTCAGTAAGGTTTATCTATAGTCAAAATTTCAACTCTCTAACATACCCTGTTCATGAGATATGTATGTACACAAAACACTGATAATTGACCATTTTGTCGTGTATTCCGGTAGTACTGATCAACTCATTAATAGTATATTCATTTGAACTCTTTTGTTTTTTTATGATAAGTACATCAACTTGATATATATGCATAATAAAATTTTTGAAGTCAAATGAATCTTGTTTTGATGAGATATGAATGTCCCAAAAAAAAATCACCAAAACTATACTTTTTTTGACTATAGTGCTCTTCGGTAAATTGTTACATAATATTTCGAGATCGAAATATTACTTTTTCCAACGGCTTGTCTCAAAACTCATGAATCTTTGCTCTCTACAAGAATATTTTAATTTGAGGAGAACCTGATGATCACGACTGGACAGCTTATCTGGAAGTTGATCTCAGTTTTTATACAAATTAGCTCATAACTATATCAGAAAAAATTTTTGTTCAGATCAAAAGCAAAATGCCAAAGTTTTGAAAATTGCTCCTAATAGCTACAAGGCAATAGTACTTAGTTTCAAAGAGGGAGTTCATAACTCACTCATAACTGATAAAAAGTCGAGTCACAAGATAAGAAATATATATAGGACCTATGAAATCCATGTATATTGCTTAACACATTGAAAAGAGATTTTGAGTGTGTCAGTATGTATGATACGTATGATGGTATATATCCACAAAATTTCATAACTAAAAATATTGTTATTTGAAAAATGACGATATATATAATGAATGGATACTGCATTGGTTATCATCATTTTTTACTTGAGGATACCTCTATTGTGATTGCAATATCTCAACAGAGAAAAAGTTTCAGAAGAAATAATTTTAGGCATTTTCATGTCTCATCTAGGGCTATATATAGGCAAAGTTTCATGAATATCCGTGATATCGATTTAGCACATGATCCATCATTTGGGTCATTTTTATCATACAATAGCTCTTAGCTTCTTCTTTATTTCCTGAAAGCAAATTTATAAGACCAAAATTCTCAACAGCAATATAAATATATATCTAGTCAGAGGTTTCTTATTATTAAAAAAGAGAATGTCGATCTGAGAAATATTATTGTTGATATATTTGTAAATCTTTCTTCAACGAAAATTTCTTAAATTGTTTGTCCCATTAATTGTATACACTTCTTAATGATTTAGAACTTGTTGAAACGATTGATCGTGCCGATTTTGAAACATCAACGTTTTGCAAGTCATTCATCGATGGTTTCTGATGAAACTCTTCATCATTTGTTTGCATCAAATCAATCGTCTTTATCCATAGGCAAACATATTCGTGATGTCTATGAACGTTTACTTGACGAAAAGTCACGTTTAGTTGATGAAAAGTCACGTTTAGTTGATGAAAAGTCACGTCTAGTTGATGCAGATTCACGTTCTTTCGAACTATTAGAGAAATTATATGCATCATTACTCAACGAACATCAACAAATCAAACGTGAACTCATGTATTTTAAAGGTGTATTACATAGTCGTGGATTGATGGAAGAATTCCGTGGGTATTTACGTGGTCTTTTACAGCCAAACACCACAACACCGATGTCTACTAAAAAAATGTATAGTAAAATGATCGATGTCGCATTTAATCCATCGATGACCACTTCAATTTTAATTTCAATGGTGCCTGATATGTTTTTATGTTTTGGAATCAATTCGAACAATATATCAGATAGTGAAAAAACAAAAATGTCAAATCAATTGGTTCAAGAACTAGATCATTTATATAGTTCTTTATCTGAATCTATACATTCAATGAAAATGGCTCGACATAGTCGAGATTTTGTTATTTGCTCGTGAGTGATCATTTTCTCAAAATGATTAACATTTCTATCTTTTCTATTTAGTGATAATTTAACTAACATTCAAATATGTCTAATCAAATGTATGGCTCGGCATTATCTTCGCCTTGATGAAAGTGAAATTCGTCTAGTCAAAAATCTAGGAGCTTCAAATGATCGTGTATGAAGATTAAACTTGGCTTTTTTTTCTTGTTGTTTCTTCAACTATTAATCATTTATCCATTAGATAGATATTCTAATATGTACAACAAATGACATTGTTTTGTTTTTTTTGTTTCTCCTTTGCCATCATTAGATGATAGAAAGAATCGAAAGTGTTTGGTTACTTTATCTCGATTTGACATCCAGTCTATAGTAAATCATATCGATTTAGTGATGGTTTTTCTTTGAATACTTCTTTCTACTTCTTTCCTTTTTGAATATGATTCATTGCTGTTCTATTTCGAACACAGGATTATTCTATGGCATACATTCAATGTCAGAGCGTTTTTTTTTGTCTACACTTGAGCACATATAATTCAATTATTTTTCCTATGGAACTTGTTATCATACTGCTGGTATTATGCCGAATTGATGATACGTGAAAATTATTCATTTGATTAGAATAAAGACCTATAGAGTAGGATATTATTGCAACTAATAACTTGCTCTAATCATTTTCTCAATTATTTCTGATAGTCTATTTCAAATAAAATAGATTCATCGTTGATTCCTGTAAAACAAAGCAAAAACAAAAAAACAAAAACAAATATTTATCGAGCAGCATGAGGGTAGATTTGATTTTGATCTTTTACTTGAAGAACATAAATGTGTTAAATTCAATTGTCTAGTCATCTGAAAAATAAATCTTATATAAGATTATATATATCACTATTGTGATACAATCAAACGTGTCCTGAGCAATGTTTATAATATGAAATTCAAGGGTTAAAAGTTTTTTTTTTTTTTTCTTTCTTTGCTGAACATACACATGAACTTACATCATATTAAATTTAAACTCAATCATATTATTATATAGAATTTTTATTTTCTTTTAAATTTCTTATGTTTAACTCATTGGAAGATATAGACAAAGCAGCTAATTGGAATGGTAAAAGTTTTGTATGAAGACAAAATCTTATGAAAAAAAAAAGTACAAAGTAAAAGAAGATTTTCCTTTTTTTTTTCTTTCTTTCTTTCTTTCTTTCTTTCTTTTGTTTTTAATAATTGAAATATTTTATTATAGAATATCTTCTACATGATGTTATGTTACTATCAAAATGACTTGAATTATTTTTATCTCAAGTTATTGAATTACAATAAGAATGATTTTACATATCATGTTAAACTAGACATATTAATACTTGATAATGTTTCATTACTTATAGATCATGTATGTTCTAAATATTTTTTTTTTCTTTTGATCAGAAAAAAATTTCTTTTAAAGTAGAACTTAAAATGAAATTAACTTTTTTTTTTTTCAGTTCGATATTTCTCTGAAGATTATTCAAAAAAACAAGGATGTCCCTCTCAGACAATTTATCACAATATTGCAATGTATGATTATTCAAATAGATAAATCAATTAGTATTTGAGTTCACGAAGAAAGTTCTTCAATTAATAAATTACATTTAAGTCAAGACTATGTCTATTATGTAGAGCCAAATGAAATTTTGAATATTCTCAAAGAAATTTATTTCATACTTTTCATCTATTAATAATGAAATACTACATTTTTGATAGTATTTTTTTAATCAATGCTGTAATCTCTTCTTTGCAGAAATATCAGGAAAAGTGATTTTTTTTGTTTTTGAATTTTGATTTGAAATTTTTCATAGAGACAAACCTTAATGAGAATAATTTATTGTAAAATATTTCAGATCTTCTTATTGTTTCTATTCTAAGATATAGTTTTGATAAAAGTGTGTCTTTTACATCCATCATATATACTGACAAATTTAATATTTTTATTTTAGTATAGAAGCAAATCAAAAGACTTGAAATTTTTACGCTAAATTATCCTTGTCAAAATGTGTCTCTATGCAAAGTTTCAAGTCAAAAATTCGAAATTCAATTTTTCTATTATTTCTTAACGAGACTATGATATTCATTTGAATAATACCATTAAAATATAATTTGTATCTATAGAACAATAAGCTAAAGACATGAATATTTTTCAAAATATTCATAATTCATTTAGATAAACATAAAGCATCGAATTTCGACTAGAGAATTTGTCAAATCTAAAGTTTTCCGAACTATATTTGATTAATCGAACATTTTTGAACTCCCATCACAAACCATACTTTAATACTTTTAATGAAATTTTCTAATTGAAATTGAATAATCATCCTGAAGATATGAGATATGTTTTCGAATTTTTTTCTATTCAATGACTACTGCATCCTACACATTTTTCATATGATTAGATCCTATTGGGTCGAAAATTTATGAACTCGAACCCGATCAATTCTCGAACTAACTTGACGGATTCTTTTTTTTTTTCTTTTTTTTGGTCAAACAAAAAAATAAAAAGACATTTTTCTCAATCCATTAAAATCCTAACATTGGATTCCAAAAATCGACTTTGTCAGGATCAGAGTCAATGTCAAAGTTACATTAGTTAAGTAATGAACAAAAATATACTATTTGTAAGATTTATACGTTCAAGAAAAACAAAACAAAACAAAAAAAATCAGAAAGATGACAATTCTCATTAAGAAATAGTACAAAAAGAAGTATATATACATTAGTCAAAAAAAAAATTTTTTGAAGTCAAAAACATTTGATTCTATAGAATTTTACAATTCATTATTTAAAAATAAAAATCTTATAAAATTTATTTATTCATAATAGATACGAAATGATAAGAAAGATAATACGAATAACTCTCTTTCTCTCTCTCTCTATGTATATATATGGATGAATTGCAAAATTATTGTACCGTTTGGAGAAAAAAAACGAACGAGAAAAAAAAATTTCGATTCGAAAGATGATAAGTCGTGTTTTTAGCTGTACTATATAAGAAAAGAAAAAGAATAAATTTTCCCGACTATCACTATAAGTATGACCGTACTAAAAGAGAATCATCAAAAACCCATGAAAAATGCTTCAATACGACTGTATCTCTATTATGTCGAAAAATTACTAAAATACGAAAGTTTTGCTAAACGCGTTGAAAATACTTCAGTTTATGTATAGAAACAACTTTGTCTATATCACTCGAAATATGGTTGAGAGTTATGTGTTCGATAAAGCTCGATCACATAACTCTAATAGTATTATTTTTTTTATACATAATTATTGGTCTTTTTTGTGAATCGTGAAAAACAAATTAGAGGATGCTCGCACGAGTTTTGATAGTCACTTAAACACGAAATCAAGTAATATGTAACGTATGTACTTTAGTCTTGATTGTGAGATAATTATATGCATAAAAATCTCACTTGACAGTTTTTTCAAAAAATCTCATGTGATGGTCTTTCAAAAATCTCGTGTGACATATTAACACTATTTTTTTCTCTTTTCTACGAAAGATAAGTTTTCTGACCACGATATTTTCAAGAATACTTGACCACAACTAGTAGATAAAATGCTAAACATTTCATCTCAATCTGCGTCAATTTAACAAAATTATACAACAAACAAAGTATTTACGTCTCATGTGACATTTAGTGGGATCACTGAATTTTCAATTTTTATTTTATATCGTTGTGTTAACAAGAAATAGGACAACTTTCTAGTTCTCTTTGCCAGTTTGATTTCCCACTAATGGACTTTCGTTCAATACCAACCTGACTAATTTCCAATGTGTTGTTGCATGGCAAGGTTGTTTTGAAATCTCGTGTGACACAAAACTGAGGATTGTGAGTACACTTGATATTCAAGAAAAAGTGCAATCAAAACTATGATGGAAGAGTCAACCTGTCTCACATCTGAAACGTGTACAATATCTACTAGAAATATTGAAAACTTTCAAATTCACATAATAAGAGAATCAATTGTTCATATGACATTTGTGTTCATTACATGTCAATGAAAATCGAACTTTTGAAACTTGAGCATCCGATATCTCCGGCTCTATGCGAGATAAATTTGTGATTTTTTTATGTCGTAGTGAGCACTAACTAAAGGCGCCTAATCTGAAAAATTCATAGAGATTGGTTGAGAGAAACTGGAGTTATTGAATTTTTAAATCTTGGAAATACAACAGTACAATAATTTTGCAATTCATCCATATATATATATATACAGGTTGATTACGTTATTTTTAATATTTTTATGTAGCTTGCTGTATTCATGTAAAACATCGAAAGTTTCTTGTTTTGATACAGTTCGATAGAGCATCGACTCCTCTATCGAACCGTATGATTTACATTTTATCTCTTTTGGTTCTAGTCGAAAAAATTCATAAATCTCAAAAGCAGTCAAAAAATAAAATTTTTTTAAGGAAGCAAGTGTCAGATGATGGCTAGGAGTGGATAAATAGCCGTGTTTTGTATCTTTTTGCATGTTTTATTAAAAACAAAATATACCAGAAGATGCAACATGAAAAGTTCTGCAATTTACATAAGACTGCTTGCTTTATACTTTTAGTTTTTGTTTTCAAAATGGAGAAAATTTTGAGCATCCAAACTTCGACCGTGCGAAAATTCGTCCGACAGCATCTTGTTTTTTTTTTTATTATTTTAAAACAATTTCAATCAGCTTTACTATCTAAATTGTAGAACTTTTCACGCTGCATCTTTTGGTATATATTGCTTTTTTTTTTACGAAGATATATTAGATGATAAAAATACGAAATTAAATAAATGGATATTTGTTCATGTAAAAAAAAAATGATTTTTTTTGTTTGCGATGGTGAAAGTTCGTCGCACCGGATTTTGCTTTTCTGAAAACAAAAGATGTACAATTAAAATAAGGTTTATCATGTAGATTGTAGAGCTTTTCATGCTGCATCTTCTGGTATATTTTGTTTTTAGTAAAACAAGTACAAATAAAGCATAAAACGTAGACATTTATCCTACTCCTAGCCATCATCTGAAATTTGCTTCCTTAAAAAAAATTTTTTTTTTGACTGCTTTTGAGATTTATGAATTTTTTCGACTAGAACCAAAAGAGATAAAATGTAAATTATATAGTTCGATAGAGCAGTCGATGCTCTATGTTAATGTTTAGAGATACAGGACTTCATGAACTATCCATAGGTAAGAATACCGATGCAACAACGCTTTTTCTTGGTTTTAAATAAAATCAGTCCGAGAACTTTTTGAATGCATCATGTAGTTTTTGACTCGTCGAAAATACTTTCTAGCAAGTCAAAAAAAAACAAATGCACACATATCTTCTGTAAAATCTTTCCGATCACTCATTAAATGAACTATTTTTATTTTTAAATAGAGATTAGGTTTAATTCCAAGTACCAACAATTTAGCTGATTATACAGTTACAACTGATTTGAAAACAATTCGTGCAATGGGTTCATGTAATTTTCCACATGTTATCAAATTTTATGCTGGTCTTATTGATAAAGTTAGTATAAATTTTTTTGTTTTTTTTTTTATAAATTTATTTATTTATCTAAATAGAAAGAAAGTCAAATAGTTATTTGTATTGAAGCATATGATACATCTATGAAAAAATTTTATACAACGATGCATAAAATGAAAGAAACAAAACATCTTGATATATTACTTAAATGTATGATTAATCATGTAAGAAATAAAAAAAAAGAAAATTGATATTGAAAAAAGAAAAAAATTATTAAATTTTCTTCTTATTTTTTTTCTTCTAGATTGTTGATGCATTACAATTTCTTAAATCAAAAGGAATACTTCATCGTGATGTTAAACTATTGAATATTTTAGTTAAACAAGATCGTATTACATTTAAACTTTATGATTTTGGTATATTTAGTCAATTAACAAATTCAGTTGCACATACAATGATGAAAGGAACACAAGTTTATTTAGTTGTATATTAAAAGTTTTTATAATGTATATTACTTTTTTTTATTCTTCAGCCTGAAAGAATTGATGCAACTCAAGCACCTAAAGGTTATGGTATATGATCAGACATGTGGGTAGTAGCGTAACCAGATGGGGGCTAGGGAGAGCTGAGCCCCCCCTACGGAGAACATAGCCCCCCCTACAAAAATTTTTTATTTCGAAACTTTTTTATGTTTGTGTTTGTAATTTTGATGTGCATATAAAGGTTATATAAAGAATGCATTATTATATACAATATCTTCTCTAACAAAATAAAAAAGATACCATCATCCATGTAGCCAATAATGTAAAATAATGGACATTATTTTACATTATTTTTGATAAATAATGTACGTAATGTAATTATAATGCAACCTTTTTCGTGCATTAAAAGGCATTATTTGAAAAATAATGCATTAAAATGCATTGGTTTTGAACGAATCTTCGAAAATTTTATCATTATTTCTTTGAAATGCATTACAATGCATGAAAAATTTGAGAAAAAAATGCATTATAATGTATTGGAGTTCTGCAGGCTCTTAATTAATTATAATGCATTTTTCCGCACATTTTTAATACATTGCAATGCATCGCAAAGAAATAATGATAAAATTTTCGAAGATTCGTTCAAAATCAATGCATTTTAATGCATTATTTTTTAAATAATGTGTTTTAATGCATTTTAATGCATTATTTTTTAAATAATGTATTTTAATGCATTTTAATGCATTAAAAAGATTGCATTATAATTATATTACGTAAATTATTTATCAAAAATAATGTAAAATAATGTCCATTATTTTACATTATTGGCTACATGGGTAGTATACGCTTGTTCTTTGAATTTTTTGACACATGACGATCAAACATCTATTAATTAATGTAATTCAGAGAAAGCAATATCTTCAAAAAATAAAACGATAAAAACGGAATGCGTAATTTAATTACATACACATATCATATCATGAATGTTTCTGCACATATGTTGTAAAAGATAAGCTCATTTCTGCACACAACATATTACGTTGACTCATGAGTAATAATAAAAGGAAAACTCTTGATTTCTACTTTTCGTCAACTCAGAAAAAGCACAATTCTTCTCATGAACAATCTAATGATGCTGACAATCAAAATGTTGTTTTACAATCATTTGATTCACAACCATCTCGTGTTATTGATAATGAACCAGTTAAAATTTCTTTAATTAACACTCATGAAAATATTAGTAATGAAAATCAACAAAACGTTCAATATGAAGAAGAAATCAACAACGAAACAACTGGTGATACTATTGATATTAGCCGTTCATGTGAAAATCCGCCTGCTCAACCGAAACTCATCTCATATCCAAAAAATCATGAAAACAGATCTTTCATGTCAAAATGGTATGAAGGAAGACCATGGTTAGAATATTCAATTGAAAAAAATAGTACTTACTGTTATTACTGTCGACATTTTGGTGCACCGACATCATCATCCAATAAAAAACCACAAACTGATGCATTCATCAATAATGGGTTTAAGAATTGGAAAAAAGCACTTGACAAATCTAAAGGTTTTGATCAACATCTGAAAAGTCTTGGCCACATACTAGCAACAAGCAACTATACACTTTATCAGCAACGAAAACAATCACAATCCAATGTTATTAATATGATAGACAAAGGTCGAATTGAACAAATACGGCGAAATCGTCTTCGTTTAATAAAAATTGCATCAGCATTGTTATTATGTTCCAGACAAGCAATTGGAATACGTGGACATGATGAAAGAGAAAGGTAAGCGCACTGATATTACATTCTTTTTTATAAATATGAATTTATTTTATCAAATATTACTTTTTATATAGTTCTTCAAATAAAGGAAATTTTATTGAAATCCTTAAATGGGCTTCTTCAACTGATCCAATTGTCAAATCAATCTTTGAAGATATCACAGGAAATTCGACATATCTTTCACCAATAATTCAAAATGAATTAATTAAAATTATGGCTGACCAAGTTAGACGTCAAATAACAGAAAAGGTAATTATTTTATATTCGACAAATCAGTGTTTTAGTTAACAGGTTTTTTTCACTGTAGATTAAAGGAAAAATGTTTGCGCTGTTAGCTGATGAAAGTCGTGATAGTGGTGGTAATGAACAGCTTTCTATTGTGATACGAGTCGTAGTACCTACAAATGACAATAAAGATATTATTCAAGAATATTTTATCGGATTAATTCGATTACATGAATTTGATGCTCAAAGTTTATCGAAAATGATTGCTGATTATTTAATAAAATACGGTATTGAATTACAGTCATGTATTGCACAATGTTATGATGGGTAAGAATCTATTGTTACACATAACTTTCTGAAGAATTCCACTGTATATGTTAATTTATTTTAGAGCATCAGTGATGTCCGGCAAATGTGCCGGCGTGCAAACAATTCTTCGTCAAAGTCATATGCCTCAAGGCATTTATATACATTGTCATGCACACCGATTGAACCTTGTGATCGTCGATGTTAGTAAAGTTATTAAATACATTAATGAATTTTATCAAATTATTTCAAAGGTTCATTCTTATTTTATTTCTTCATCAGTAACAAATGAATATTATCAACAAGCACAAGAAAAATTAGCCTTAGGTATGTTTGTTCTTTAAGAATCATAGTAACTTTTATTATATACTACCTTTTTCTTAATAGCTACTTCTTCAAAGTTAAAAACGTGGTCAGATATTCGATGGGACTCAAGGTGGAGTTCAGTTAATGCTATTATGCTTAATTATGAATCAATTGTTGTTGCATTAAATGATCTTATTGAAGAAGGCGATCATCGTTGCATTGATGCAAGAGGTATATTATCAGCTATACAGGAACCGCTTTTTATTGTTACAATGGTGATATTAAACAAATTGTTTGGTTCAATCAAAGTTTTATCAGATCAATTGAAAAGTAAGCAAAAATGCAATATATTTTCACAGGAAGATATTTTACTTCAAATGACGTTTTTAATTATTATAGGCGAATCACTTGATTATGCTGAAAGTCAATTTTTAATTTTATCAGTAATTGACCAGCTTCAAAATGAGCGAAATGATACATCATTTAAAAGTATTTATTCGGCTGTTTTGGATTTTGCTAACAAACATGGTATCGATATGAACCGCAAATCAAAACACCGACGATCAAATACAATACCAACTCGTTTTAAAGATGCATTTATAACAAGTACAATGGGACATCGAAAAGAATTTTTAACTGAAGCTGATTATTATGAAAATATATATTTTCCATTAATTGATGCAATCCTAGTGGAAATGCGTGATCGTTTTTCACCGTCAAATCTTGCTGTATTATCGAGTGTATCATCAATGTCTCCACAAAGCAAGTCTTTTTTAAATTATGACCAATTATTACCCTTAGCTTCACATATTAATTGTGATCAAAATCATTTGTTTAATGAATTGCAAGTCTTACAACCAATGCTTCAAAACAAAAAATTGTCAAACGTCAATGAATTATATCATGAAATGATTCCATTACAAGAAGCATTTTCAAATATGATGTTAATGATCAAAGCTGCAATGACTATTCCTGTATCATCATGCACGTGCGAGCGTGTATTTTCAAAGATGAAGTTAATCAAAACACACATAAGGACAACTATGACAGATGAACGATTAAGCGATCTTTGTATCTTATCAATTGAACGTGATTTTAATATAGATTTTGAACAAGTTATTGATCAATTTGCGGTTAATCATAATAATAGTAGAATTTTATTGCGATAGTTTTTTCTTGTATTGTACTGTTGCTTAATTTATTATTATTTTGTTGGTAATAAAGATTTGAACATTTTTGAACTTTATTATTATTTCCATTGCATTCTCAAGTACTGCTCAACTTCTTGTTCTTCAACTCCCCAAAAGTGGGGGGCAGAGCCCCCCCTACGAGAATTTTCTGGTTACGCCCCTACATGTGGGCATTAGGTCTTTCAACTGTAAATAGAATTTTGTAGTTTTTTTCTACACAAATATTTCTATAGTTCGAAATAGTAACTGGTCAACATCCATTTGCTAAAATGAATGCATTTGGTATTATGAGTGCAATTATGACATAGGTACCAGAACCACCATTAAACTTATCAACAGAATTATAACAACTCATTGTTTAGTTGTAAGTATAGATAAACAATTGAATTGGACAAAAAATACTTTTTCTAAATAATTTCAAATCAGATAATTTAAAGAAATTAAAATATCTTTTAAAAGTTTCTTCTATTTGAAATGAATGAAATATAAGATCTTAATATTATTCACTTAAAAAAAACAAAAAAAAATGTTCTGCATCTTTGTTGTAACATAATAAATCGGCACTAATTTATTTGAATTTGCCTAAGTAAATACAGATAGTGAAGTGTGTCACTCACACTTATATACGGGCCAAGATGATTCCGGTCTCTACTGGATAGAAATCGACACCAAAGGGTCCTGTCGGATATTCCATTTTATAGCGTAACTAGTGGCACATCGAATGGTATATAGGATATTGGTTTTTTTCATCAAGTTATAATGTTCTGAGAAGTTAAATTTTGTTTAAATTTACTTCAATAGCATTTTTCGATCGTGTATATCTAATAATATTCTTCTTCGTATTTAAAATCTTACCATTCATGTAATATTTAGCTTTTATTGTCAATAGATGGATCCTCTGAAATGATATTCATCATCATTATCATGAAATCTGCCAATCAATGCTATTTTTCGATTTCTAAGGACAGAAAAGCATATGAATTTTGCGATAAATACTTGTTGAGTAAAAAAGTTTCTATCTATTAATAATAAATTCATTATGTCCTATCATTTGATACATATGAATGTTTCCCTAAATGGAATCTAATAACATTCGGCTACTTAGAATCTAAACTTGTAAGAAAACAAAATAAAATAAAAACTAATTTTTGTAATAGACCATTCTCGCATTACGGATCTGAAAGCAAAAGTTTTTTTTTTTGCCATATTTGAAAGATCTATATAAGTTAAGTGATAGGACATAATGAACTTATTTCACTCGATAAGTATTTATCACAAAAC